TATGTATGTATGTAGGTAGGTATGTATGTATGTATGTACGTATGTAGGCATGTACGTATGTACGTATGTATGTATGTATGTATGTATGTATGTATGTATGTATGTATGTATCTATGTATGTATGTATGTATCTATGTATGTATCTATGTATGTATCTATCTATCTATCTATGTATCTATGTATGTATCTATGTATGTATGTATTTATGTATGTATCTATGTATGTATCTATGTATGTATCTATGTATGTATGTATGTATGTCTGTCTGTCTGTCTGTCTGTCTGTCTGTATGTATGTATGTATGCGTGTGTTTGGATGAAGATACGGTTTGCATGCACTTCTGAGGCCACTTCTTAAGAGTAGGTTATGAATGACTTCAACAAATTCACAGGCCAGGAATTTGGAGGATGCTGAAATCCAAATGCGCCTCCGAGGGGGATGCAAGAATTTGTTGTCCCGTGTTGTCCTTGTCTCTGTGCCAAGGTTTTTTCAAACCTAGTCTAGAACTCTGAGCACTCAACTCGAAGCCCTCGACCTTCACAAGGGTTTATGAGGTAGGCACCTGAACCATCACATCCTATGTAGCCTCGGAAACAGCCACTGTCAGCTCTTGCTCGATAGAGTCCAAAAAGTAGGACTTTCTTAAAGCAGTGTCCAATTATGCCTCCATTCCTTGAAAACATCCTCATAGGGTATTCGGGGTTTTGTGATTTGGGATGCTCAAGGCCATGCCTAATCTCAGGCTGCTAGCTAGCTGTAGCTGGGGCTATAATCGCGCCCATCATCTCGCTGGCATGAGCTACCCAACTACAAACCATGTGACTGAGTAGTAGGTCCTATGACGTGCCAAATATTTTTGAAAGCGACGCTTGAAGCAGGGAGCACTTCTAGACTGGGGGCTAGGGTTTTAGGATTCAAGGGGAAGCGGTTGGGGTTCCATGTCAGCTCTGGGATTGCGCCTGGACCGGCTTTCAGGTTAGGATTTAGGGTTCAGGGTTTGTTGCGTGCTTAGGGTTTAGGACTCTAGGCGTGCGAAACTGGGAGATTGACATAGTTACTATGGCACTGTAGGATGTGACCATGGGAGTGCTCTGAAACCAAAATCAACTTTCTACGAAAAGCTTTCCGGGTCAGTGACATGCAAGGCTTCTTCCTTTTTCTGGGTGTTCTGGTGAAAAAGGAGGTGTAGGAATTCCAAGGAAACCTCTTGCAACGTAGGCCCCGAGAACGCAGCCCCGAAGCCCTCGGCCCTATCTCCTAGCCACGCCTCTTCCTCCTGCTTTTTCTCTTGCTTCTTCTGCTCCTCCTCTTTCTTTTTCTTGTCGTCCTTCTTGTCAATACCAAGTGCCTGTCAAGCAGGGGATCGGCCTGCGACGGCAAAGTCTATAGCACACGGTTACCCTCATTTTCTACAGATACAAGCATGAACATGTACATGTGGGAGTCTTCAGGGATTAAGGGTCCCTTTGGGGGATATTGTGGCAGCCTGTTAACGGAAACCCCACACTGCACCACATCACTGCCGTCGTTCCGATGATTGCTGTCCTCGCCTTCTCCTGGACTTTCTTGATCATCTTCTGCTCTTTCTTCACAAGCTCGCCCTCCTCTATGAACCTGTAACCAAAGCAAACAGAAGCTCCACAGAGGATGTTCTTCAAAATCCTGGAGACCTCGGTATACTATAATGCTACCCCACTTCCCTGGATAAAAGGTACTGAGGGTCATACAGATTTTTAGTATCAACCGTATGAAGACCAAGAACCCTCGCAAAAGGGAGTGCATATTGGGATCTAGGTCTTCTCTGTATGATGCATTCGCTGGGAAAACAATGGCTTGCAACAGAGTCAAATACTACCACAAAAGACAACCCTGAGTACTTGGAAAGTCATGGGTAGTTGAATGGTGTTATTGTGTACCACAGAAAATCATCATGTCCACAACCCCACTTCAAAAAATGCCCATACCTTCGTGCAGACCCCTGCAAAACATCCGCTCAGTCATGGTCTCGAATGATCTAATGCACGACTGTTTCCAGCTTTGAAATCTAACCCCATTCCTACAGGTTTCTGACAGGATTCATGCACCCTGTGTAGCATTAACCCTAAACTAAATCTAAACCCGAAACCCTAAACCGACACACGAATCAAGCTAACCACATCTACAAGATGTTAGTCGCCGCAGAACCTGGTTTCTAAAAGGACTTTCTGGGAACCCCAAAGAAGGAACCCCAAACAGGGAATCCCAAGAATACAGTAGGAACACAATGGGAATATACCTACCAGAGTCCTTATATTCTCTTGTATTACTACTATATTCTTGGGGTTCCCTATTTGGTGTTCCCATTAGAACCCTTTTAGTCTCCAAACGTTCTTCAGAAGGTCACGGGCAGGCATGTGTGTGGGTAGGGCAAGGGCTAAACCTTTCTAGCTTAGTGGACAGGACAAGGGCTAAACCTTTCTAGCTTTCGTTACAATGACAACATCTTACAACCTTATTCCTATGGTTAATCCCGAATCAGGCAATGAGCTCTCGACAAAAGGGAGCTTGCCCGCTAGATGAGATGTTTCAAAAAAGTACCATGGAACTGTTTAAGGCATTTCGGAGCTCAAGGCTTTGAATCAAGGGTTCGGGCCTTATGTTTTCTTCGCAAACCTGGCTACAGATTTTGACACCTGAAGCCAGCGATACATCCGTAGATGTTGAAAACTGCCCCTGTCTTTTCATCAACAACCCTAAGCACTGCAAGCATGACCCGGCTTGCAAAGGGAACCTCGCTACAAGGAACCAGACTCCCTAATGATGCCGGCAGGAAAGATTTGCGAGAGTAGCCCTTGAAGCTCTGACTCCCAATGCAAGAACCCTGTACAATGCTGCTGATCTCAACACGGCATCCTAAGACCAGGCTTTCCCTGACCACACATTGAAGACTTCCATGGCCATGCGAAATCGGGGCCAGTACAGCTCAACCGGGAAAACTCAAAAATCTATTCCGCTTGCGTAAAGAACTTTACGGTTCAGAGTGCTCCCAGCATGACGTCTACCAAAAGAAAACAGATTCTGCCCTCGCCCCTTTGATCCACCCACCTTCAAGACAAGTTGGAATTCTTGGACCTTGAACCCTGCCTGAAACCATGTGCCCAGAAGCAAGCTGGTAGTTTAGATTTCTGGCTGCTAACATACCAAGGAACAGCTTAACAGAATCCCTACCCTGAAGCCTAAACCTAAATCCAAAAGACAGAAAAGGGTCAGCCTAAAGTTGCGGCGCTTCTGTCGTTCAAACCTCTCCTTCCAGACCAAAACGCATACGCGGAGCACCCTGGGGACCCTAAGACTCTATGCGGATTACAGGAGAGATGTGGCGGCCCACCTGAGGACTATCTAAGCGCTGCATTTCGAGAAAGTCCCAGGTGGGATCCAAAGAAGGGAAGCCCATACAAGATATGGTGTGCAGCTTTACAGCTGAAGTCCTTCGGTCTGGATCGTGGTTGAAGTTCAGAGATGATCAGAGTTCAAAGTTCAAAGCTTGAAGTGCTCTGCCTTAGACCTTAAGCCCCAAATATACTATAGTAGTTTCCATTTTCTTTTCCATTATCCCAATATAACCCCAATATACTATAGTAGGGGCTTGGGGGTTTATGATCAACCGGGCTTTTGCATTGGCCCTCGGAACTCTGCCGAGAGTTGCAGACAGCCCCAGGGGCTCCTTACTTACAAACTGGTCCTCAAAAACAACGGGGAGTTTCCCAAAATTAGGGGTACCTTATTGGGGGTCACTATAATAAGGGTTTAGGGGTAATATTGGGACAATGGAAAATCAAATGGAAACTACTATAGTATATTGGTTGCATAAGGGTTATCTAGGGGTATAATATAGGGATTATATTGGGATAATGGAAAATAAAATGGAAGCTACTATTTAGGATTTAGGGTTTCCCAAAATTAGGGGTACCTACTATAATGGAGAATCAAATGGAAAAGAAAATGGAAAATGAAATGGAAACTGGGATTATATAGTGGATCATAGGGAAAAGGGTTTCCCAAAATTAGGGGTACCTTATTGGGGGTCACTATAATAAGGACTATACTATTTTGGGGTCTATATTGGGGTCCCCCTATTTAGGGAAACTACCAGCCTCAACTAAAAAACTTAAGCCCTAAGCCTAAGCCCTAAACCCTAAAAACTAAACCCAATCCAACTGTCCAGGAACAAGCACCCCTTCTGAAAGTTGGCTGTGTCGCCCATGACCGCAAAGGTAAACAGCAGCCAAAACCAAGAAGTAGCTAGGGTTTAGGGTTTTGTTTTTGGGGGTTAGTTTGAGGTTTGGGTTAGGCGTTCGGGTTTAACTTCAGGGTCTGGGGGTTGGGGTTTAAGATTAAGACTCGGTGAACCCCATACAGACCCCGAAAAGGAGGACTACATAGGCTCTACAGGTCCGCTTTGAATGGTAGTTCAAGCAATGAGGGTTCACATCTCCTGGCCTTTCATTGCATCCATTCGCCATGGTAACAGGTTTCTTCATTTCCCAAAATGAAACGCTCTCCTCAGGGTCTCTCCACACATACCCCAACATGACTCATCGGATCCTTGGTATACAGAGCCCAGTACTATCAAAACAAAGGGAGAACCCCAGAATCCAAAACCCAAAGCCTCCAAACCCTCAACCCCATACCCCAAACGCTACACCGAAACCAAGAACCCCAAGTCCTAGACCCTAAACGGCAAACCCTAAACCTCGAACCTCAAACCCTAAATTGCAAGCCCTGAACCTAAACCTGAAACCCTGTAAGCCCCAAGCCCTGAACCCAAACCTTAAGCCCCAAATCCCGTAAGCCCAATGGCAGGGCCGGAGTCCTTCACCTTCAGCGTGGAATCGAAGTAGGAGCTCTCTCCTCCGGCACCGTCCTCGCTCTCAGCTGCTTGGTGAGGGCTGGGACCTGGGGGTAAATAATCTTGGGATAATGGAAAATCAAATGGAAACTACTATAGTATATTGGAAGTATATGGGGATAATGGAAAAGGAAATGGAAAATACAATTGGTTCCTTCGTAGATTGCTGAGCTAGGGAACTGGGATTGGGCAGATATTGTTCTTCGCGGAATACTCCCAGTTTTGGGGAGAGGTGGGACTTGGGTTGCAAATGGCCCAAGGACCTTTTCCTTTGAAGGACCCGATCATACAGCTTCGGCTTCCGGAGTTTCAGCTTGTGCCTTGTTCTTTATTCCTGACAACGAACCGCCTTCCTGTCCAAGAATGTGTGTGTGTGTTGTGTGTGTAAGTGCATGTGTGTATGTTGCCATGTTTTCTTGTCAGGGCTCCAACATAATGAAGATACATAAGGATAAAAATGACGATGCGAATCCCCATAAAGACTTGTATAGCAAGCCTTTTGAAGAACCCCTATGCATTCTCTTGCTTCGAACTCAACGCAGGAGTTCGTGAATCGCAATAAGGATGAGGCTGCCCTGTCCTCTCCTCTGGGAAAGCCATCGCATCAAGAGACCCAAAGCATGAGGAACTCCCTTGATGCCCGTTTCTTCAACCCAGGACTGAGGTCTTCAACACTATGTCTGTACCTCGAACCTGTAAACATCCTACACCCTTCACGCAAAACCCTGAGCACCCCCTCCCATCTTGTTAGAAGGACTGCAGTCTACAAACAGCCTTTTCAGGTCCCATGTGTGTATGATGTAAAGGCCACATCCATTGGAAGAGGGGTGCCCGACTTATCTCAGAATTTTACAAAGGTCTTAAGTCTTAAGGGTAGTACTCTTCCGAATTATGCAGTTTCTACATTACTGTAGGGAATGGCAACCACAGAGACCTCAGATCCAGAATCAAAACCAAACCCTGAACCCCAAATTCTAAACCCTGAACCCCAGACCCTCGACTTACTGGTATTTACTAGGGAATACGGACATATAATCCTCGTATCATCCCTACATACTAGATTTCCTTATTCCCTGCGAACCCCCAGTAAGTTGACCCTAGGCCCTAAACGCTAAACCCTAACCCTACATGACTTACTGGTGGTTAGTCGGGAATATGGGAATATAATCCCAATAACCATCCCTATATAGTCTATTTCGTTATTCCCTACTGACCCCCAGTAAGTTAACCCTAGGCCCTAAACTTTAAACCCTAAACCCTAAACCCTGACCCTACATGAGTGGGCTCCTTCTTCAGGCCCAAGATCTTCTTCAGCCTTGCCTCCTTCTCTCGGTTAATGTTGACTTTCAAGGTGCTCACCACCTGAACATGTTCGATTTTCGGGATTAGGATTTAGATGTTTTTTTGGTTGGTTTTAGGTTTGGGGTTTAGGGGTTTGTGGTTTAGGGTTGACGGGGTTTAGGGTTTAGGGTTGAGGTTTTTGGGGTTAGGGTTTAGGGTTGAGGGTGTTTAGGGCTGTGAATTGGAGGGGCCTTAGAGCTTCGGGCTGAGGCTTCAGGCCAGTGGGTTTGGGATACATCTCAACATGACCTTGGGGCCTTCTTGAAAGCCAGAGATGCAAGAGTATCTTCATTGGATGCAGACGTGAATAGGAAGAAAGGTTGATTCACTTTCCTTGGCTCAACACCCTGAACCCTCAACCTTAAACTCCAGCTCGGAACCTAAA